GATATTTCATATTCTGTGCATCTTAAACATCCACATACTGCTCCCATTCATGTCATATCTGCCACTTCCAATTTCACCCTCCCCCTTCCAATTAAGAGATGTACCCCCCACAATGTCATTAATTATCTTTTCTTTGTTGTTTTTTTTCCACGAGGAAGCTTAACATTCATCTAGAGTTCTCTTTCTTTCCTCTGTTCTGCTGTTAATTATATTCTCGCTTGTGGCCACGTTTAACATTTTCATTCCCCATGCACATAGCCTCAGTCATGTCACGGCTGCATTGTGTTTACCTTTCATTAACTTCACCTTTCAAATTCCTAAATACCATCTCTTGTTCGTAAGTTTTTATTCACATAAATAATAAAAGTAAAAAGTGGACACAAGCCACTCCACTGTCTTTCCACCTGAGGAAAAGCAGTAGGTGTCGTGAGCAGATACTACTACTGCAACTACTATTTGGCACACTTGTCGTATGCAGGTCCTCTCCCTCACCTATTTCTTATCTGTGACTTTGGTAATCAGCTCTCGACTCAGCGCTCTGGTTGTTTGGATTCACTTTCCTAAGTAAACGGATGACTAGACGCCTGGTTTTTGCATCTGGTTATGCACCATCGTAATTTCGGACACAAACTGTTGGGCAAAGATTATAAACTACAGAAAATGTGACAATACGTTTCCCGAGTTCATAGGTACGACAATGTGGCCCGTCGGATCTTTTAATCCTCGGAGACAGCTCGTCTCGGCGTCATGCAGGAATTACATTAGTTAATAACCATAACCTTACAGGTAATCTTATTAAGTTTATTGAATTTAATTGCCTCTCCAAATGACTTTTTACCTTCATCTGGAACCTGCAATAGAATGCGGGAAGCTGAAATTTGGAGCAGCTCTCTCTTGTGTTTCATTTTCCTCCATTAAGAAGTGAATTTTTCCTTTATCAATTGCCTTACATTGCTTATTACACCATCCTGTATTTTAGAATCCGTGTTTTTTTTTTGTGCCGACTTGTTAATTTTTGCGAGGAAATTCTTCACGACAATGGTTGAAATTAAAAAAAAACCCACTGATTTTATTTAAAAAAATAAGGGCCAGTAAATGCAGGAGTAATTACTAGTCAAGATTTTAGTTGCCTACTACTTAAGCTCAACGAAGAAATAATAACATACTGTATTTCATGTTCATTAAATATTTCGCTCTGCAAGACTGTTCTCTTACACGAAAGACATTGTTTAACTGTAAATTTAGTTTCGTTAATTGCCCTCATCTAGCTACCCAAGTAAAATTTGTAACAGAAGAAGATGGCAGGTGAACAACTTAACATGGTGCCAGTATACGGTCAGACCACACCCTGTTTGTTCCCACTTACCTCTCACAGAGACTGATTCTTCCACAACTGTTGGGTTACTCATAGGTTATGTAACGCCTCATACTACTTAATTATATAAATTCAAACTGCAAATAAAACTGTGTAAATCATATGTCACTTCAGTAAATATTAACTTTCGTGCAGAAGAAAATGAATAAAGTAGTCATGTAAAATGGTTTCGTACCGTCCGACTTTATATTGCGGAGCAATACTTAGTAAAAAATGCTTTTCTTCACACAATTTCCCGGGGACAAAGTGGGACCCTTTTCTCTTGTTATGGCTTTCTGTTGTGGACTTTTGTTGATAAAACGTACATATTTCTCTATAAGACTACGGAGTATTCTGTATTAAATGTGTACAGTATGTGTTGACTTCAAGAAGGTATACCATCTGATGTTACATACAAAATTCACGGTTATTATAATATTAGATTTCCGTACAAAAAGAGCTGTCAAGTTTCTCGGAGGCTTATTCAAAAATTCTCATTATTTTCAAGGGTAGTCATGGCTAGAGGAGGTCTTAGAGCTTGCTTTTCAAATATTAAATAAAGTTGTCTACAGGAGTCGCGACGATTTGATAACCAGGAAGTATGAAGGCAGTTTCACCTAACTTTATCCGCGACTTGTTCCACATTTTGGATTTTTTTATTTTTATTTTTTTTGTAAACGTTTTGGTGTCCATAAAAATAAAACTTTCCTTTACTTTATTCATCCAAAATATTTAACAAAACAGCGCAGTGACGCAGTAATTCGTTCACAGGTGGTGTCATGAGGGCCTTCATGTAAGGTAGTATCAACTCGATCATTATGTGGTGTTGCATTGTCATAGGGACACCCTGTGGTTTGGTGTTAAAGTGCCTCGCTCACTGCTCACTGCCATGTGGTACCTCACAGTTAAGTATAAAGCCGACCCTTGACCGCTACCAAACTTCCCAGCGTGGACTGATTAGCGCCTCACCGCCTGTTACCAAGAGTCGTCGGTTCCCATGGTATCATGGGACCTTACAGGTGGGTGTGAAAGGCAACTTGGCCACGACTCTCAGCGGTTACTGTTTAGAGTTTAAATCAAACGAAATTTTCACTTTTGGAAGGACTTCGCTGATATTCCGGCAGAGACGTTTGGTTGAGTGGAAGGAGTTGGGGAAGGGACCAACAGCCTGGCCTTGGTAGCCGGCAGCAGCGACTCGGATAAGTCTCGGCTCTCTAGTGGTCAGGACACATGTCTGTGAAGGTGTTCAGGATCTCCTGAAGGTCCCATATTCAGTGTGAACGACGTGGGTGGGTTCGGCACATGGAGTTGTCTTATTTTGGAGACTCCTTTCATCCTGTATTGGATGAACACCCCGCGAGTTAGATTAGCATTGGTGCGGGTAAGGAAGGTAACTAAGAGTGTTGTTGCCACACCCTTGTATATAGAGAAAGACACAAAGACACACACAGACACACCAAGTATACAAAAACAAAGACATACATGTACACAGGTATAAACAGAAAGACACAGGATAACACAAACACACACACACACACAAGGACATATACAATTATACAAATAGACTTAGAGGCATACATACGCACAGACATACGCATACAGAAATACTTGAATATAGTAGGTACAAGTGATCGCGGGCCCTTCGTGCCCTTGTGAAAGTTTGAACGCTCGTGACAGCGTACAGCGAATGAGGGTGCGTCAAGTCCGTAGACTTGCATCGGTTTCCATCGTAAACAAAATTGTTAATTAATGCCTTCCTAAAGAAACCATCGACAGGGGACCAGGTTTGTTCCACACTACGAATTTTTTGCGATTTTTCCACCAAGTTTGATGAAAAACGATTGTGCCATTTCGGCTGTCCAGAACAGACAGACAGACACACGCCTAGTCCTAAAGTATATTAGATAAACAAACACACACACACACACACACACACACACATGAACATATACGGAAAAATATGCATACACAGGCATACTTACAAAGCAAAATACATCAACATACCCATTAATTATGTACCCCATTATTCTGGCCCCATTAAAAGTGGACCCGTTAACATATAAACTTCTATTTTCCTCATCACCATCAACACAAAAAACCTACTGAAGGTTTTTTTATTCACTCCTAATTATATTTACAGATAATCAAGTCACCGGGTCATTTTCTAAACCTTTTACGGACGCATTTTTTGAGTCTCCCAAATCAGGGTCGTAAGCCTTTTATATCAGACTTCAACTGGCTATTTAATTGAATATATGTAAAAAATATATCATGAAAACGCCTTAAATCAACTGACCTAAACCATTAATAAACTCAATTAAACTATGAACAACTTCTCAAAAGGCCATTTAATCGGGGTCGAACATCGGGTTTAGATGTTTTCAAATTCATATACCGGTTTGGATGAATTTGTAGCTAACAAGTGCAAATACGCACTAGTCAATCCATTGTTTACCATGATGAGATGTATCCAGTAAAACATGTATATGGAGCAAGTAACAAGATCACTAGATTACAAGATGTTATAACCGCTAGATTAAGGTTAGGATATAAGTACCTCTGGCAGTATGCCCCGCAGGCAGATGTGAACAAAACTAAATGTAAAGTGTGCAGTCAGATATATGGCCACACACTCCAACACTACATATAAGACAGTGAAAAAAATTGACCATTTTAGGGATAGATCCAAGCACACTGTATATGCAATGGCACAGCACGTTATCGCTGATGGCAAGATAGCTAAAATACTAAAGCGGTATCCACACTTCGCATCTAATACCTAAGGAAATTTATATTTATCGATCTAAAGAAAAAAATACACAGGAAATATTCTGTAATACTTAAAGGCATAATATCTTGGTCATTGGGGTCTGATCAACACCCTTTGTGACATCTACTCTGTAAACCTTTTTGCGCTACCGATCACAGGATGAGTATAGGTTGCACAATTAACTAGCTGTTGTCCACGGTGAAAAAAAAAATCCTGCTCCACAGGACCATTCGAGAAGGGGGATGGACCCATTAACATTGATACTCTATTAAGCTGAAGCCTATTATATATTTACATAGTAGCTAAAGGTGTTACCGGGAGATAATAACAAATAAAAATAAGAATATTATACAGTCAACAAAACTTTTCCAACACCTGGGCACGATGGATGTGAGAATCAGCAGAATGGGGCTTGTCAACTCGGAATGGTTCCAGATTCTTCGTTCATTTTTCAGATAGCACAGTGCTTATAGCGTTTGGGAAGTTTTGGGTAAGAGTGTACAATGTACAATATTGTACAATGCCAATAATGGATTGCCCGGCGCGCGCCTTGCAGGTGACTCCTTACTCACCAGGGGCAGAAGACTTACCCCTGGGGAGGGCGGCGTCAAGCTCCCACTCAGTATATGAAATATCACACTCATTGTGCTGTTTGCCCAGCATAAAGTTAATGAGATTACTTCTCTCTACAGACTTTGCATCAAGGTGTTCTTGGTGTGTGTGTGTGTGTGTGTGTGTGTGTGTGTGTGTTAGAATAGAGCAGAAGTGTGTGAGTGGATTTTATGTGTGTGCAGCAGGTGGAGTTTCCCAGACATAAGTGGAGCTGGTGTCGGAATCTTTGATGGTGCTTATGGATATAATAAATGGTCTGTTTGAGGCCCCGGCACAACGTAGCTGCAACTGCTGTTACTGCTACTTGATGTGTCTGCCATATTTCCTGCTACAGTTGCTAGTTGGAAATCTCTCCCAATACTGATCCTGCTGCGCGCTAGTGCGTGTCTGTGTGTGTGTACTTGCTCGTTTCCGTCAGCAGTCCGCCATGAGGCTGGAATTGGTGGCTTTGCTGTACTTCGCGGCTCAAGGTACTGATCTAACATGTTGTGCATTCGTTGTCATATCCTCTTTTGCGGGGCGGGGACTCTCTCTCTCTCTCTCTCTCTCTCTCTCTCTCTCTCTCTCTCTCTCTCTCTCTCTCTCTGTTTATAAGTCTCTTTCTTCCTCTATGTCTCTCTGTCTGTCTGCCTGTCTGTCTGTCTGTATGCCTGTGACTGGTTCCTTGATTGTTTCTCTGTCTCTGTATCTCCATCTGTCTCTTTCTCTCTCGATCTGTCTGTACAATAATTATGGATAATTAAGAAATGCCTTGATAGTAAATTTAATAGCAAACCAATGATGTAATTACCCCAGTTAATTATAGGCGTTAGTTTTATCAGATTAGGAGATGGTGGTGGGTGAGAAGTGGGCGTTAATGAAGGGTGATGGGCGTATATAAGGGTTAATGATGGTGGGTGAGAGGTAATGAGTTTAGGTGAAGCGTGATGAAGGCAGGTGATGGGCGTGGTTGAGGGTGGTAATGTAGTATGGTGGCGTGTCAGGGCAGAAGTGTAACCTCTTTCTTCCTACAGGTTGGGCGTGGAACCCGTATAACTTGGCTGTGAAGTACGCACCACGCCTCAAGTTTGACTCCAAGCAGGTGAGTGTGTGTTTATGTGTGTATACCGAAGGCTAATTAGAGTGAGCTGCATCCACACTCAACCTAACGGGAAGTCGTGTGTCTGGGATCCTTTCACTTTTCACATGTCTGTCTGTATCAATTTAAAGACACATATACGTGTGTATATAAGACTGGGATTAAGTATAAAAGCAAGTTACTATGCAAGTCGTTGTGTACTGTACACTGGATAGACTGTTATGTAAGAGCCAAGTTGTCAAGACCCACTACGTAAGAGATCGAAACCAATAGCAATTTTAATATTTATGTACATGTGTCCCGAAGCCAAATTTTGAGGATTTTTGCTTTGTAAATAATTAGGGTCTAAGATCATACAAATACAGGCTTATTCTAACTGATATTTAACCCTCCTGTGTACGGTGTGGTCAAATAGAATTTCAAAAGTGGCGTCCCGTAGTGAAAGGGATTAAACACCTATACTCTACCTAGGGAGGAGGGTTGGGTTAGCTACAGGTCACAAACTATCTATTTTGATATTAAAAAAAAAATACACTTGCAACAGAGAACCTTTATCTTTTCGGTTCCGTTCTGAGGATGGAAAAAGTGATGTTCCGAAACATTAAATGATTGAATTAGACAACACTTACGATGTTTGTGAGTTTCCTGATGCTCCTCTTTATCAGCAAATTAAATTTTCCACTTAAGTTAATTGCTGTATTATTGTATATAAACAGGTACTGCATAATTGGAAGGTTAAGTATGCAAAGATGTTATATTGTCTATTATATTACAACGAACTGGTCAATTGTCTTTTCATTTTAAGGGTGACAAAGAGAAGTGTTTCACCTCCTCTGCCGCCGACTACTACAACACCAGGAAACGCGGCAACCACGATCAGATCTGTAACACTAACTACAATACTATGATCGATGCAGCTGTGCCTATATACTGGAAGTCGATGGAGTGTGGTAATGCCGTCCATGTTGGTGAGTCTTGGGGAAGGTGTAGGGGAGTTAACGAAGAGATAAAGAGATAACAGATATGAGAGATTATTATTCGAGAGAGAGAGAGAGTTATTTATCCTAACACCTCCTAACTAATTTGTTTCCTTCATCATCTCGATCTGGTGCGGCTTAGCTTACTGGTTCTTCTACGGCTACCAGGACACGTGCTCCCCCGGGGCAGGTGCTCACGACGCTGACTGGGAACACATCGTCGTTAAGGTCAGTTGTTTATCCCCCTGGCGCTGAGGGGTCGTAGTACCCAGTTTTTAGTCAACCTCCCCACATCCAGGAGGTTGTTTAGGATAGGTTAGGTTAGGTTATGCTGCCCTTGGTTTATATGTGTTTACATATGCACCGATATTTTTTTATCGTCTTCCTTCTATTTCCTAGTTTGGTGCGTTGTAGTGTAGCACATATGAACCTTAGATATTTCCATTACCGCACCCACTTTTTGTTGCAATTAACGTTGCCGTGTACTTTGTTTTCACCTCATAAAATCAGTTATTATTAATTAGTGACAACACAGTGTTACATAGTAACAAACGTGATAACTGATCAGAGTGTTACGGCTCTTGGGACTTGGGAAAATATAAGTAGGCGAAGCTCCTGCACTAGCTCAACTAAACGAGATGATAACAAACTCTCTTGTGGTGTCGATGTGTGTAAACAAAATGAGTCACGTGGTTGTGGTGTTTCACTGCCAGGTGATAGACGTTGACACCTCGAATGAAAAACTGGATAAGGTGATGTACTACCAACACGAAGGCCGCTACACGCGCAAACAAGGCAACTACGAGGTCTACAACACCAACCACCCTATCGTCTACGTGGGCAAGAACTCTCACGGCTCCTACCACGATGACGGTGGCTCCGGCACTTGCTGTTACTTCGAGGACTTCAGGAACCCAGGTTAGCTTAATCATCTAGCCACAATATGATCCACAATGTTCTTAATGATGAAACATAAGTTACTGGCATTAAGTTGTGTCAGTCAGGAGAAAAATATACAAATGCGATCCTTATTTTATATTGAGCTTAACCACCTGGTTGTCTTATTTGTTAATAAACAACCACCTTTATACCTGGTTTACACATAGACACCTGGAACATAATAGGAATGAAACTAGATGGGGAGATAGTGTGGGAGTATTCAGTGGGAAGGCTTGAATAATTATGAACTGAACATTCTCACACTATCTCCGATCTATAGTTTCATCCCCAGTACACATACTTGGAGATGTGTCTCACATGTAGCCAATGTCATGACATCTGGCTGGTGCATACAGACGTACACACACCACCTGAATATCTGTATAACAACTGTCCACGCGTCTTACAGGTAGTCACAACCAGCACCAGGACACTTGGCTCAACTTAGAGGAGCTACGCCGGGACAACACCTCGCCGGAGTGGATGTTGGACACGGGATCCGTATACTTCGACGGCATCACCTCTCCTCTCAACCGCGACGAGACCTACGACCTTTGCAACCTCCAGGGCTGCGAGGGTGCCTGGTTACAGGTCTGCAACACCTGTGGCTGTGCCAAAAGCGACATCGGCGACGAAATCATGTAGAGTGGCGGCAACGACAACGACGTGTTTAGTTATCCCCCGACAACAACATCTTACAGTTTAACCTCAAACATCATCCTCTCTGACCGTCTCCTTTAGTCTATCTCTTTGGCTCGTTCTCCTTATACCTAGTGCCTCTTTTGTGTATATATATATATATATATATATATATATATATATATATATATATATATATATATATATATATATATATATATATATATATATATATATATATATATATTAAAACAATCACTGTGAAATACATCAGAATCAAAATTTTAAGATAATAATGCTACTAATATTAATACAATAGACTCCTCAGTGTTTACCGACAAAGACGCTTATCACATCTCCCCCTGTATTTTCTATTAAACAAAGGAACTTTTATTGTAATTAGAAATATTTTTACAATAAATGAACAGTGTTGCATCAAAATGACTTTCTAAATAAATAACATATTTTGTGTTGATGTAATGAGACTTACTACCCACTTATGTAACCGTATAGCACCACCTACCACACCACCTGCCACACCACCTGCCACACCACACCATCCATCACACCACACCATCCATCACACCACACCACCTACCACACCACACCACCTACCACACCACACCACCTACCACACCACACCACCTACCACACCACACCACCTACCACACCACACCACCTACCACACCACACACTACACCTCCTACCACACACTACCATTGTACATATTGCTCAAAAGGATGTTGTATCATTTTACTGTAATGTCATGAATTGATTTACTCCAGGTGATGTGTTTACCCACTATAAAAGGACCTCAGTAACATACCTATTATGAAGTTGGATGAGTAAGTGGAGATACATGATGTCAAAATGCATAGGTCAAACGTCATATACTGTATCTATGACCAATATAGAATTTTACATCGAGGAATATATTCACTACATGAGCCAAGATTTTATATTAACTATTGATATTTATGACAAAATCACAGATATACGATAAAAAACAATGGTTGGAAGGCCACTTTAAGGCGATGAATACAGGCGTAATACAGAGATTATCAATAATTTAACATGTACTAACATTTATCGCGATCCTTCTATGCATTTCTTAATTATCAATCAGAAGCCACGTGAAATTTAAGTGGAGCAGCGGTAATATATCTGGAAAATGTAAATAAAAATGGTGGGTGTTGAATGAGTCGTAGAGACTTATGATATAAAGCTGTCATGCAAATTACTTTCCACCCGGCGATCATTCATCAGTTATAGATCGAACAGAACATGAATAACACAGGAGGGTCGGACGTAATGACAGACGTTTGTTCCTTTCTTATTCATTCCACACTCAAAATACTATGGACATTGTGACCCATCTTTCAACTTGATTCATGAATTCACTCTTAAGGTAAGCTTACACGCCCCAATGATTTTGGTAACGTGAAATAGAAAGATCAAATTATTGAACACGAGCAAGATACATTAACATCACCTAAACATTAATTTTAGTTTGAATCTGTAAAGCCTTTTACAAATGATCAACGGGAAGCAATATTTGGCCCTGGTACAAAGACGCAAGGACTCATTCATAATATATACACCAAGTATTATAGCAAAGCATATTACATTAAAAGAAGTGTATTTAGTGTGTTAATTTAATAGTGATTGAGACTCACAAAGTGAGATTTTCAAAGCTGCATTAATCAAATTTGATACAGCTGACTGGAGTGTGATGACTGAAATGAAATATTGGACCGACCAGTCACACTGAACGTGAAATACGAATATGTGTTCACTAATAGAGAGAACCAATTTGATGAAATAGTATCAAACTAATAAACCACTGAGTCAAGCTAGTCACTGATGGCTCAAATATTTTGTATTGACCGATAATGTATTAAAGCACTTTTATAAATGTGTATCATTTTTATGTAATTGCTCTTGAATTGGTCCATCTTCTAGTCATTTGCTGGATAACTATTATATACTGTAGATTATATATTTCTCTGGATAATAAGATTTATTGGACAGTCAATGTGTTACACGTAATAATAACCTTCAAATGTAATTCATCAATTATATTCATTTTGTTTTCCAGACCACAAACCCACACACCCTACTACTTCTTTGTTGTCACTCGGAACCGAGTATAGTAGATCATCCAGCTATGACACAATGATATGAGTTACTAATGATGTGACCTGAGGCGACTCGAGAGGCCGATACGGGACCGGCAGGGCCGTCCGTAGATGTTGCACGTATCTCCATACACCTAGTGCGAGAGGGGCGACAAGCAGTGGTCGTCTCCCAGGTCAATTTGGCGTTTTTTTAGGTTTGTCTTAAAACTATCCTTATACCTTTTACGTTGCCCGCCAGCGTTACGAATGCTCTTCTGTAAGTCAATTGTAGAGTATCTGCTATGGCAGTCTACTGTCGCCCATGTGAGTAACATGTCCAATTCAACGTAGTTGTACTGTACATGGATAATGGTAGCCTCGATGCTCCTACAATTGGTGTAAGTGAGAATACTGGCATTTGAGGAGCGTACGACCAGAGTGGACAAAGCGCCCTCCCCCCCCAAAAAAAACAAATAGAGATCTCTGGAGCTTTCCTATCTGTGATCAGCTGACCGCCACCCTCATCAGCCAGATATGCGTGGGTAGTTTTACTTAATAACAAAATCGACGTTGAAACGATAGCTTGGCTAACCTAGTATCTGGGAATTCCCAACATTGTGTGATTGAAAAATTCATGTATGTCCCATCGATTACTGGCAGCAGTGGGAAGTCACAAGGTGAGGCCATAATGCAGGTGGAATGCCTGCTGCACTGCATACTGACTGGGCTCTCGTGCTTCACCCGAAGACCTCTAGGTCCTACAGACTAGGAGGTCTATGTCGTTATGTCTCTTGTCATATATATATATATATATATATATATATATATATATATATATATATATATATATATATATATATATATATATATATATATATATATATATATATATATATATAATTAAGAGTAATTATTATGAATGGTGAGCGCCACCATTACTATTTGAGTTAGTGCTCGCGGCACCTTCACTGTCTGAGAGCTCGTTTCCTCCTACTAATTACTTACACTACCACCAAGAAACTTTCACACAGTCCCACTTACTGCACCCCACACACTAGTTATCTTGCCACTGTACCTGAGGATAATGTGAAAGTTTGGCCGTGTGTCTGCTGTATGTCCGTTTGCATATGTCTTCGTATGTTAGTATTTGCATGTGCGTAAAATGTCCGTGTTTTTGTGTGTGTGTAATTTGTATGCATACCTTTGTGTATAAGAGAAAGTAATAGGATAAATTAAAGGTAACATAGTCAAAAATATATGCTGCTTAGGTTGTTAAACTTTCAATTACTCTTGAAAATATTCGCAAGATGATACAATTTTACTACAAGAACATGTACTGCAGGCAGCTGTGACCTCTGTGTTGGTGGCAGCAGCGGTAACATCTGCAGGGCTCGTGTTTGTGACTGATTTCACAGTGTCTTTTGCCAGGATTTCTGTCAACATGATGGACTTTTGTCTGACGAATTATTTTTAATATCAATATGAAAGTTATCACTGACAGTGTTCATGATGCCAATTATGATTTTTTCTTCTGCGAGCGACGCAAGAAATTTATTATTAATTATAGCCTTTTCCTGGTTGAGTGACTGGTTTTTCCAAAAAAATCTTATCAGGTCAGCGAAATAGCATTTGAAAATATTATTGTAACTAAATCTTCGTAACAATATTTTTATATTTATATCTTTATACCTCCGCTATAACATGGCATCATGGAATATTTGTCCTTAACATCTGTCTGCCCCATTCAACAGTGCTGTGTTTACTCTCTGAAGCCAACTCCTCCAGTTCCTCATCAAAGATTTAGAAACTTGACATTATCATTATGGATGGACGCAGTAGATGACATAGAAGGTTAGTTCTGTAGGCCGGATTGCTCATCAGGGATAGTTGCTCAGTTACAGCATTAATCACTCAAAGAACTTTACTCATATCTGAAGTCAAATTGAACTGTGTACTTATATAATTAATTAATGCTGTAATTAACTTTGTTGTTCAGATTCTCTCTGGCCAGGATTTGGTGTAACAAAGAGATAATATGGTTTATTATGATTTAGCATGAATATTATTGTCAAATAAAACATCCAAATTTCACTGGTCCAGGAAGAATGTTTTTCTATACTTATTAGAATCTGTTTTCACTTTTCTATAACTAATTAAGATCAATGGTTATTAGGCAATTACCTTGTGCCTCGTTCGCTGTACTCTCGAGGTGAATATATTTACGTTAACAGACACAGGTTCCTAGTTCCTGATGAAACCAGGAAGGTTTTACGGTAATATACCTTTTATCTCACCTCTCCTTACACTCTGTTACAGTGTAAGTGTAGCGATGAATATTTGTTAGAAACAAATCAATAAATACAAGCGAGTAGTAAAGCTGCATCTCCTTCAAATGATACAAAAGTCTAGCTTAATATCTGGCGTTTATTTTTTTTTTCGGAAGATTTTGTGTCCTGGTGAGAAAAAATTAAGAAATCCTATTTACTTGGACAAACATTTACAGGCAAGCAGCACCTATTCGTACATCTCCAGTCCAGTAAGAGAACCCAGGTTGAGATCAATAACTTCAGTACTCGTGTGCCACACAGTTTAAAAGCAATGTAAGCCTCCTTGAGTTATGCTATTGTGCAAGAGTGTTCATGACTTCCATCCATAAGTACTGTTTATATGATATCTCTAATTTATTGCCCTGCTTTATGACAGATATAAGCATGACGATTCGAATGAACTCAGTACACGACAGACACAGCCGCCATCCAATCGGGAAATTATTGCCTAGAATCATTACGAACTCTCTCACTATCACCTTAGTTATCATTTACTTATTCATATTTTCTTATTATATCTATCGGAATTGAGTGTAAATAAATAACACACCATTACAATACTCAGTGAAAAGTAGTCATTTCCGGAACACTGCGCCCTGGCTTAGACTGTGAGACACTGATATACTTGTATCCACATTTTGCACCTAGTGGATAATGTAACTCCTATGTACAGAAGAAACCATACAATGTACTGAAACACTCAATACC